GCATATATATAAACATATACACATCATATATATATATAATAATATAGATACATAATATATTATTGTATATATATATATATATATATATATACATATACATATACATAATATATATATATATCACTTATATATATATATAAATAAATAGATACATATACATACATATATATATGTATATACATATATATATATATATACATATACATATATATAGATATATATATCAAGCCGAGCGAATAGCCTCGGGAATCGCGTGGCATACGTGTTGCGTTCGTATTTCCCCCTGTAACTCAATTGCGATCTCCATGTTCCGTACACACTCGAGCGTAGAGAAGCAATGCAGGCGATGCAAAACAAGCGGCTAGTATTGTGAGCAGAAACCGGCATTTGGATGATGCGTGTGCACACACCGTTTGTAGCGAGGGCGAAGGCATGCACACATGCTATCCCAAAGTGTGGGACAGTGGACTGATAGCGCGACACTTGTTGCTATTGGATAAGACCAAACTGGTGTCACGTAAAGGTACGCAGCATGCAACGGTGACATCTTTCTGTACATCCATCATCACAGAGTGAAATTATATTGTTCTGCACATCGGTTCTTTGTCTTGTTATGAAGAGGCCAATATGATCGTCACATACACGGCAAATAGGGCCAGCCTAGGCAGCAAGGTGTATGAATGTTTTTAATGTAAATTCATACTTAATGTACACGGAATCTCTCCATAGTAGGACTTCGCATGCGCATATGCGAAAGTTGTTATCTAAAGTCACGCATAGTGTGTAAAGAGAGAAGGGGGTCCTCACGCTCTGAGCGGGCCATTTTATTCGGGCTTCTCTGTGGAAAAGTACGTGCACTCAATTGGGACTATCAGATCCGTTAGGTACAGTTCGGGTGTGTACTCTTTCATAGAAGCATCCCACAGGGTATTCATCAGACGCGAGCATTACACAAACAGGCCACTAATATACCACAGATACGACTTCCGAACACACTACACGCTGGACAGCGACTCACACAATCGCTAGTCAGTTATACATATTTATGAATTCTAGGCGCTACCAAATGGACTCTGGTACTGGCAACTCCTTCGATCGGGTGTTCAAAGACAATCATAAGCAGCCGCAGTATGAGGCACGCTTGCATGCCAAATGTACACACACACACACACACGTATAAACTGAGATACACACACTCGCGTATTCGATCTGAAAGGCACACACACACGCACACGCACGCATATTTAAACTGCTGTAGATTCGACCACCGCACACCAAGATCCAGATATCTCTGAGCCGAGCCTGGAAAGTCAGAAAGAACAATTGGTATGTGAGTGCCATTGTATAAAGAAGCATGTGTGCCAATCGCTATGTGCAATAAATATATATATATATATAATATAATCATACCGGGAAAATTTTTTAACCTCCAGGATATCATCAGATACTACTGGCAACGGTTGTCCAATTTCCACGAGCGTATATACCTGGAGGAACGAATAGCAGCAATGGCTACGCAGATCGAGAACGCTCTCGTTGAGCACAGTAACTGTCAGGCCCTCAACCTCATGGAAGAAGGCGACATCATGTGCACACTCTCAAAGCAACAGGTACTTCAGCTTTGTATGGATAAGTCCGAGTATGACTTGACCAAATCATAGGGTATGATATACGTATATACAAATAAATAAATATATATATATAAATATATATATGTAAATATATATATGTAAATATATAAATATATAGATATATATATGTTTATTATATATATATATATATGTATATATATATATATATATATATATATATATATATTATTAATATATA